GATGGGAGATCCTTAGAGCTGAGAATCTGAACCCTGATAGATTCATACATAGGATTCAGACCATGTAAGAAGGCAAACACCCTTTGTTGGGAGACAAGTTGCTTGTACATTTTGGCATCCTCATCACACACACTCTGGTAATGATCCAACTCCTTCCAGACAAAGGTCAAGTCAGAGTAATAAATTGATAAACACCTCTCCCTTTGTCTACAAGTAGATGATGCTGCTTGCAGTTGATAAATTTTGGCATAGTGTCACAATTCTGAATATGTAGAGTTTGCTTGTTCCCATATTTCATTTGCAGTTTCAGACCACATGAAATTCTTCCTTATTTGAGGTTGCATGGAGACCAAGAGCCAAGACATAACCATATTGTTCTCCTGATTCCATTTATCATATTCAGCATTCCCAAAGGATGGTTCTTTGATCCTCCCATTAATATAGCCTATCTTCCCCCTTGCAGTGATGTATAATTTGATCCCTCTTGACCACTCTAGGTAATTTAAACCATCAAGAGGGACAACAGCCATAGGAAAGGATAGGTCACCCCCACCCATTCCATTCAGCATTGAGGAAACTCCAGATGTGGTTGAATCTTCACTGCCCATGATATCGGAATAAAAAAGAAACAACAACCAAATGAGTACTGCCGTTCAAGGCTATTGCAGAAACAGGTCCTTCTGACCTATGGTTTTACTGGGAGCAAAGTTTGAACACTGCTGTTGCAGTACTGGAACAGGTCCTTCTGACCTACGGTTTCACTGACAGCAAAGTCTGAACACTGCTGTTGCAGTACAGGAAGAAGTTTGTATGACCTATGATTTTGTAGGAATCCAAAAAGAAACACTACAGTTGCAGTACATCACTAGGTCTGAATGACCTACATTTGAACATAAGTCATATGACCTCCCAATAGAGTGAAAAAGAGGGTGAAGTTTACCACACACCTAATCAGTAGGCCTGATAGCCATCCAGTCAATGAGATCAACAAGGTAGCCGAACAGTCAATCAATAAGATTAATACATTATCAGTTTCACGGCATCAACAGTCCATAATACCAAAAAAAATCAGCTGAATACAACTGCTTTGTTAAGGAATACAGTCAATCAACAGTCCATCAATCGGCTGAACAGTCAATCAATAAACAGTCAATCAGTAGGGCAGTCGAACAATAGATGACCAGTACCTCTTTTAACTTCAGATGATAGTCTCTTTGTAAACTAGAACTCCCTCTACGAACCTCAAATGATAGCATCTCTACAGTCGAGCAGACAAGGGGTACAACTTCTATGCTGGAAGATGAAAAGTCTCTGTAACTTCTGGGTCGAACTGAGTACACCAGATTAGCAGTTTGATGGAGACAGCTCCGGGAGATGAAAAGTCTATAACTTCTGGGTCGAACTGAATACAACAGCTTAGCATTTCGAGGGATGCAGCTCTGGGAGATGGAGAGACCATCTGCACGACATTAAACAACAGGTTTGCTTGACACCACCCTTCAGGCCTGGACGACTTGCTCTGCTACCATGTTGAGCAAGAGCAAGAGAAGAGAAGAGAGGAGAGGAGAGGAGAGAAGAGAGGAGAGTCGAGTGGACTGAAAACCCTCCAGAATACAGGGGGCGAGTGTAAGAGATATTATTTAATACTGGCCCAGTCGTACAATATAAAAATGGGAGAAATTACAACAGTACCCTTGCTGTACTAAACCTGAGTACACAAAACAACTGTCAACACTGAGGAACGGCGAGTCTTGCGACATCGCCGTTGCTGCTTTTTTGCTGGTGCTGCATTTGTGCTGCCAGCCTCAGTGTTGTCAGGTATCTCGATTTTGTTCCGAATGATGGGGCGAGGTGGATCGGGGGTCCTCGCCGCGTGATCGGTGCTGGCTGTCGCGGGGTGCCGAGGGGTCTGCTCTCGAGCCCGCGCCTTGGGCCCCAAGCTGACGATCTACATTGTCCTGATGCGGGAGTTGCCGACTATGCCTCTCGGGCTGGCTGGGTTTGGGCCTATCCTTCGAGTTCCCCCTTTGGGAGGCTGGGGGAGTACACCGTTCATCTATTATACCCTGTGGCGGGGTTCGTCCCAAGGGAGGGACCGGTACCTGTGAAGTTCTTTCACCGCGGGGAGGAGATTGGCGGTTGTTTTGATGGGCCCGGTGCTGGTTCTGGTTCTGAGTCTGTCTCTGATGTTGACTTACTGGCTGGTTCAATTGCAGCGGTGGGAACTACTGTTGGTATTGCTGGTAGAAGTAATAGTGCTAAAATTGTTGGAACTGGTGAATCTGTTGCATCTGGATCTGCATCATCCAGACGCTTTGAACGAGGTCGTTAAACTGGGAATGCCCGACCCCAGGGGGAATCACAGAGGGCTCCGAGAACGTGGTGTTCACTTGGGGGAATGGGACATTCACTTGTTGGGTGGTGTGCGGCACGGACAGTGATGGAACCCCTGAGACTGTCAAGGGAATGGTGAACTGGCCTATGGTCACCGAGGGACCTTGGGGAATAGTTGTTTGTTGCTCTTGCCCCCTAGTGACATTCATGTCGCTCTTTCTGGTATTGTTGGAAGATGCCTTTAAGGTTGAGACTGGGATTGGAATGACCTTTTGATCGTTTTCCACAGACGGCACCAATTGATGGTGTGCGATCTGGATGCTCCTAGCTGTAGAGCAGCTCGGATGCCTGTCGCCAAGTAGGTCGCTCAAACTGTAGGGAAAGGGAGGTATCAGAGAACCCGGGGTGGCTAACCCAGCGAGGTCGCTCCGATGCTTAAGTTAGTAATAGTATATGCGAGCTGAGAGTTTGAGAACAAGGAGAGTTAGAATGCACTAAATCGCGCGTACCTGGGTCTTGGGGGGGTTGATGCCCTTATATAGTTGAGCTACCGTGGGTCTCACGAAATGACTCCGGGATCCTCGGCCCGCGTAGATACGATCCGTTTCCACTTTAGGAGTAACATACCAGTCAATGAAGTCTATTGTTACCGTCCGATGCGGGCGGGGAGAGGATAAGGCCGCCGTTACACGGCGTGATCTCGGGAGATTTGGAGTCTGTTGAGAAGCTTCTGGAGTTGATTACGTGTCACTTCGATACTTGGGTGTCGAATTGGCTTGGTGCCAAGGTGCTCGAGCACCCGGGCTCCCGCACTGCTAACTAGACTCCCCTTGCCAAGTTGTCATCCTGCTGGCAGGTTGTGTCCACGTGATCTTTACTTGCTAGGTCGGGCCAAATCACCCCTCATCACCCCTCTTTTACATGGTTTCTCTCTATTGGTTTTTGTATGAAATGTCTTGATCTCTATTGGTTTTTGTATGAGATGTCTTGATCTCTATTGGTTTTTGTATGAGATCTCTTGATTGGTCACTTCTAATGTCCAATGATAGGGGCTGGGAACCTTGGCAGAATTAAAGATTATTCATAAAAATAACATAGAAATAAATTGAAGAATTTCACCTCCATCATGCAAACCTTCAAAAGTTGGAATCTCACAATTTCTGGAAGTATACTTCAGTTTTCATTTACTAATATGTTAATCACATGAATCTTCACTTTATCAATGAGATGGTATCCATGGATCATGATTGGGAGTTGTGTAGAAAAGAATTATTTAGACATATTATTGAGATGGTATCATGGCATCTCCATCTCTCAGAGTTGCTTTGTTGAAGATTTTAGGATAGTGATGACCGAGTAAACATGTGTAAATCATGTGGGGGAAAACAGTTATTATGACATATATAGTTTAAAGCATAAATCATGTAAGAGATAAAAATAAGGTTGTACCAGAAAATGATAAATGTGGATAATAAGGTTGCAAAACCGTTATATATAGGTATGCTAAGGTGATACATGGGATTCTGGTGGGACAGCATAAAGAATCTGAGGAATACTAAGGTTAAGAGTAAGTCAAAATTATAGCTATTACAGATGCATGAGAAACCACACAACAGGAATATCACAGAGGCCCAGTGGATAAAATAGAAAAGGCAGTGCAGCAAAAAACTTGAAGTAATGGACTTTCAGTTCAAGCCCTAAACTGTTGATTAGTAACTAAGGATAATGAGTTAATGACAAACCATTTAAAGGGTTCCCACTTAGGAAAATCAACCTGGCAGGATGATTGTAGCCAGTAATTTAGTATTTTAATTTTGGATGGTAAAGAAAGCAATCTGTTGCAACTATAAGATGATTTAGAAATCAGGTAGTAATCCACTGTTTCTCATTTTTGAAACAAAGAATTCAGGCGAAGCCCATATATGGTGGGTCCTTATTATCCTATATATAATCAGCTAAAAGTCATCCATTATCATCTTAAGCTTTCTGCAACAAATACCATAAGCCCCAGATGATTTGTTGTCTAAGGTGCATAGGACCAGTTGTAGCGCTGACCTTTACACAGCCCTATTCCCGAGTTGGTTTGCCTTGTTGGTCTTTTGCTTTCTATAAAATGAAAGAAAATGAATTAGGAAAAGGATCCTGATCTTTTGGTGGGTTTTCTAATAAGGTGATTCCATTCTGTATTGACAGGGTAGAGTTGTTACAGATCAATACAATGCAAGCTACTGTGCTTATAACTCAGATGTTGCAACTGGTTATGGGGTTGGTTCTTTCTTATTCCTACTCTCAAGTGAATCACTGCTTATGGGTGTCACGAAATGCATGTGCTTCGGCAGAGCCTTAGCCCCTGGTGGAAATCGAGCCTGGTCCATCATCTACTTCATATCATCATGGTGAGATTTCTTTATATGTTTCGGGATGTCAGTTTTCTGTCACTACCTAACAAGAGAACTCCATGTTTATTACACATTTATTTTCAGTTATTCATATTAGTATCTTTGTTTTAACAACTATTCTTTGTTATACTATATGAATAATATTGTGCAAAGTTTCTTTTTGCGCATGACATGCATATTTAGATCCGGTTATAGAACTTTAGCATTCTTTACCCTTACAGACGATTAAGTTGCCACGTTTAAGCTGTCTAATTAAGTGTCAGGATCGTCAGCTCTGAAACATGTGTTAGGTGTTGTCAGCATGCTCTGATAAACTTGTGAATTGTGTGCAGGCTAACTTTTCTGATAGCGGAGGCATGTCTAATTGCCGGAGCAGCAAAAAATGCTTACCACACAAAGTACAGAGGGATGATTTATGCCCAGAACCTCTCATGTGAAACTCTGAGGAAAGGTGTTTTTATTGCAGGAGCAGTGTTTGTGGTTGCATCTATGATTCTTAACGTCTATTATTACATGAACTTTACCAAAGCCACAGCACAAGCTGCTCGCAAAACCAATCGTCCAAACTCGACAGTCGGAATGACTGGGTACGCCTAAGACCAGGACAATGAACCCAGATATTTCTTCAAGTTTTGCTTCTTGGGCTACATGAAATGAAAATTTTGGTGGGTCTCTGATTGTATGATGTAATAGTAAACTGTCAGACATTTTACTTAATGCTATTTACAGATCCAAAAGAAGTGTTCTAAATCTAAACCATCTATGATACTACGATCTACCTTGTGGACTGGACGAGACACGCACACCACACATAAATCGCATTTACGGATTGGCGAATGGCGACTTGCCTTGTACCTATTCCCTACATCGATCACATCTTGTTTTCTTCCCGTCTCATTTTATGTGTAGTGTAACGCATACGCTATTTGTTTATTTCCCACAGTTCAGTCATTCAGTGTGCGTGAGACAGGTCCAGTTCATTGGCCCTTGTTTGATACAACAGGTCTGCATTTGGCTTGAATTCCCTGGTTTGGTTTGGTAGTGGGTACAGGAGCACGACTGCAAATGACAAGCTAGTCTCAGGTGCGCATAATTAAGGTGTTGCTTGTATATCAAGTAGACAAGGTACTTCTGTGTTTTATGAAGTTGTACAGAAAGTACCTTGGCATTTGAATGCCTGTGTTTCCTGCGGCATATATGATGCTGCCATTGTTATCAACGGATTTGGATGCCTACATCCATGTGGCATATATGATGCTGCAAAAGTGCCAAGTGGACACAGGACCACATGGCCTTAAAGATGCGTTTGGTAAGAGAATTTTCACTTGGATCATTTCTGTAGACATTTGGTAAGAGTTAGTTTTCAATTTTTCATATTGAAAATGATGCCAAATTTGTTTTTATTTTTTACATGTTTTCATTGAAAATGGGAACAAAGTTTGATTCTAGAAAATGGATGCAAACTATTCTCAAAGTTTGTCAACGCAAAATTGTAGATTTTAATCTTGGGATTCATGTTTATACCTATTAGAACCAAACACCTTTGGTAAGAATTAATACAAAATTTATCAATGCAAAACCAAAAGAAACATACTTGTATTTGCACTCTTACCGAACCTAGGAATGCATTATGTATATATTCAAGTGCCAAAACATGAAATTTTGTTACTGTACCCAAATGCATTCTCCTTGCTTTCTATTGCAAAATTTCATGGTGTGAAAATACATTTCCAAATTCATCTTGTAGCACAAAATAGACAGTAAAAGCCCAAAGGTTTTGGGCTTCTAAAAACATAAAAGTAGAAATCAATCCGAACAGCACCTAAAAAGATTATTTGGGAATACCTCGTATTTATCCTACATTAATATTTCGGTACCATACGATACCATCACTACTTGAACCCTTGTCAACATAACCCCTGCTTTACCCTTGCTCTTGTCTAGGGTGTGGTGGTGATTATAAGAACTCAGCAACGGCCGGCCATATATATATATATAGAGAGAGAGAGAGATACTTCCCAGTGAAGACGTGCAATGAACCCGATACAGGATCTGCTACCCAGTACCCACCCATGCACACCCAGTTTCCACTTTCCAACATGATCTACTTCCTACTTGCATGTTGTTCATTGATGGGATTATAGACTTATAGTTGATGAGACATATATACTTGAGGTTGAAGATGTGCGCAACGGCTATATATAGATCATAATAGATGAGACAATAATGGTTTCCTTTTTCTTTTTCACTCTTTGGCTTGATTATCATTTAGCAGCAATGGAATGATCCCTCGCGTTCCTGTTGGGTGGGGTTTCCTCTGGTTAATCTGCTTTTTCAATTTTCAGTTCAGTGTTTCACATTTCAAGGCGCACAAAACAAAACCAAACAGGCTGTCTGGTTAAACTTAAAACGCGGAAAGAATGTCTAATGTCTTAGTCCTACCCTAGTTTTCCAATAAGCAGCATTCAGAATGTTGAGCAGAAGCCTCTCCTGCTAAGCTGGAAAAGTTGAACGCCCTATCAAACGGGACCCTAAATAAATTTCTACCTACATTCATAGCACACAGGTGCTAACGTATGAAAGGGTTCACAAAAGAAGTAGTAGCTTTTCTATATTGAGCGAGTCGAGTTGGGCTAGCTAGCTGCTCAGCTCAAGCCTCAAGGGCGTAGAGACTAGAGACAGGGTACGTAAGAGCCAAAAGTTCCTGAATCTCCGCCGCTGCTCCAACTCCAAGCATCGACTTATTGTCCTTGCACTCTCCAAATAGTACCTATATATATATCTATATATCTATCCATCTATATATATATATATATACTCATCTATGTGGGTTGAGATTCTAAGAACGCCTCATCATCAGCCTAAACAATGAATATACAAAAAATCATCAGAATTCTGGAATTAATATTGTGAGCTATATATTGTCTTGAACAAAATTGACGTTTTTTTTTTACTGCTTACCAGCAATGCATGCCAAGTGATCTGTTGTGTTTTTATATTCTACTCTGAATCTCTGATTGATCAGCCCAGCTCCAAATTGAAGTCATTCACGTGAAAGAATCTCTCCCTTAAACAAACACATTTGAATTAAAATAATGCAGACAAGCATCCTGATATTCCTGAAAGCCCACAAAAGGAATGAAGCTGAACTATAGTAAAAATAAAGTAAAGCTGGACGAATAAAAGTAAATAGGGAATCAGCTGTAAGAGCTGTAGCTAATACGGTTTAATTACACGTCAATTTTAGTATGGAGTATTCAATATTAATAGATACTAGGAGAAGTTGCGCGCAATATATATTGGTTAAAGAATGTTTAATGTACGTAGTTACTTACCTCTACTATTTGCAGATGTGATTGTGTGTATGTGTTAATAGTTACCAGCTGCTGAGAGGCAATATAATGCTGTTCGTGTAGATGAGAAGCCAATGTAGTAATGTAGATGACAAAAACATGATACCTCGCATTCATTTGTCTAATATCCAGCTATGGAGCTACACTCCAAGGACATGGAAAAGTTGTGGCCCATGCACCCAGAATATAATATGGCTATATATGCCGCATGCCTAATCAGGACACCAATTAATTCAGTGTGGCCCACCAAGAATGGGAGTTACTATGCATGGCTACAGACTTGCCTGGATCCATGCTGCAAGCCTATTTAAAACAGGCCATCCTAACTGATGGAAATCTTATATATGCTTCAATAGATTCCCAATTTTAATTTTAATTTTAATTTTCTTATCATATCAACTCACTGCTGAGAGAAAACAATGATTTATGTTTCTATGTAGATGATCGATGATGAAACAAAATGTCAGACTTCAAGGGAAAAAAGAATATGTATGTATATATATTATGCAGATTGCATCTTGAAGAGGATATAAACATGCAATCAAACAAATCAAAATAATTCATTCTATATTACTATTTTGCTAGATCTTCTATTCTAATTATCATGCATGGAGGCATATTTGGCAAATCTTTTCACATGGTCTCTCGAGCTTTTCAAAACTCAGAAGACCAAAATTTTAATTTTCTGTTTGGTAATGAATGATGGAAAGTCGAAAAGAGCCATGCACTAAAAGCTTATGAAATCCCAAAATGACCAAAAATCAGGAAATGAAGCTCTGTGCCTAAAATCTATGATTAATAGCCCAAACCCGACTGAACCAAAAGGTTTTGGACTTATTGAAAGCCAAACTCCAAAAAGCTCAATTCGTCTTTTGGTCTGCTGAACTGTCGAAAGATATATATAAAAGACTTCCCAAACAGCCCATGCATATATGCTTGGTTCAGTCGGAAACTGTAGGCATATAAGTTTGAAATAGTGCTCTTCCAGCTCTCTTCTATATATATATATATATATATATATATGTTGATTATAATACTAGTATGTATAACATTTGAATATTGTTTGTATGAAGTGCAACTGTAGGTGTGGAACATGTTGGCAGCATGCTAATGTACACACTTGGCAAGATTAGCATCTTTGGCGGGGGATAACGAGAATCATGAGATTAGACTAGGCATTTGACAACCAGATGTGTTGCACTTGTCTCATCGCTTTGGCGTTCCAAATCAATAAGCAAAAAATTCCAGAGTTCATGTTTCCTCTTTCTTCAATTTTAGTTAAAAACAATTCGTGGGTCGTATTGGTGTGAACTGTTGTCGTCCAACCAAGGACAAATCAGGGCCCTATGCATGATGGATGATCATCTCTGATCTCTCTCTACGTAACAAACATGCAATCAAATCAGTCACAGTCACCATTCTCAATTTTTTTTTTTTTCACTACGTTACTGTGAATGTGAAAGATCGATCAATCACCACGTCGTCCTTCCCAAGAACAAATTGTTTTGCTTCTTTTCCTCCTAGGCCCCACGCACAACAAAGAAGAAAAGAGAACTAAAAGAAAACAAGAAAAAGATATATGGGCACAAGGACGGTAGAGCATCCCAACAATAGTCTTGTGAGTCTTCTGCTAACTTTTTAACCTATTGTGGTGAAAAGGGAAGCAATAACCTATATGGGTGTCTGCTCTACTAACAAATATCAAATAACAACTCTTTAATTAAGTGCGGTAGCTAGGAAGCACTTTTGTTAAAATATGATCGTTAAGGTTTCCAACGCACAACTAAAGTTCAACAAGAAAGATGAAAAGAGATTTACAATTAAGCTTACAAAAACTGTGTGTGCGTGTGTGTAGGAGAGTGAGAGTGAGAGAGAGATGGATGGATGTGGTTGGGGGCCATAGACGTAGGGACACCAAAAGGGTGCAAAATCCAAATAGAAACTTAAAAGGTTTAGGCTTTATGGCATCCGAGTTCAGGCCTTTGAGAGCTTTGCACGGACAAAACCCACTTTTTCCTTTGTGGGGACGAAACATTAAAAGTCAGACTTTGAGAGGGGGCCTTGCCCTCAAACCCATTTTCATCTAATATATTAAAATTTTTATGTACATTCCCTAAAGAATTATTGAGGTGAAATAAAACATCAAATTAAATTAATGAAATAATAATAAAAAAAAGGAGCTCCAAATAAGTGTATCACTATCAGGGCCATCCGTAAAAAGCACCCTCTATGTTCGGCTAAATTACTAAACCAAGTCTCTCTACTTTGGGTAGGCTGCTAGTTTTGTCCGGACTTAACGAGTCCCGTGAATTTACAGGAAAGAAAGAGTGTGGAGAGTGGAGAATGGAGACACACATCTGCTTAAACGGCCGCCGTACACATATAATAATTAAGGGATTAATTACGTTATAAACAAAGTGTTTTAAGGTACAAGAAGATACTATTGTTTTATCGTTAATCAGTATTATATAAACTATATAATCTTCTCTAATATAAATGTGGGTTTGGGATTGGGAGTCTGCCTTCGTCCAACGGTAATTATATCAGATTCAAAGGAAGCAAGCCCACATGACACATGTGTTGGCTGGCATTTAAAGAAACAATAAAGGTGTCGTAAGCTTGCTGCT